GGCGCCTCCAAGGATGGCGTCCACCTTTGGCGTTTCTTCCACTGCTGCAGGTGCCTCCACCAGGTTTGTCTTCGCTGCTGCTGCTGGTCTTTGTTGTTGCAGCTCCTTTCCTCGGAAGTTTCTGCTAAATCGGTTGTTGTAGCAATCGGAAGCTTTGTGCCCATATTTGCTGCAATGGTTACAATTTCCATTGAAACCTCCGCTTGCCTTGTAGCCTTCTCCACGCCTTGCATCGTTGTGTTGTTGCCACTGTCCTTTCCCTTTGTAGTTCCTTCCATGGGGGTTGGAATAACAGTCGGCAGCTTTGTGCCCCTTCTTCCCGCAGTTGTAGCAGTTGCCAAAATCCCTTGGTGTTGCAGTTGCATTCAGATTTGCAGGCCTGTTGACCTCTGCTGCCGTTGCCACTGCTTCCCTCCTTTCCAGGTCAGATTTGACCAGCTCCAGCGCTTGGAGGGTCTCGAGCAGCTGGGTCATATCCTTGGGCGTGTTGCAGGTAAGAATTCCGATCTCTGCTGTCCACTCCTTGGGTAGGCCGCTGATGATGTATCCCATCATGTGCTTCTCTGATTCGGGCGCCCCCATTGCTGTGAGATCATCGTTGTAGCTCTTGGCTCGATTCACGTAGTCAATGATCTTCTCCGTTGGCTCCATTGCAAGCAGCAGCAGTTTCTTTCTCACTGCAGTCAAATTCGTGTCGCTCCGTCCGAGATATACCGCTTCCATGTATGCCCATGCACGTTGTGCTGAATTGATTTCGTCCGCAAACTGGTCCAGCCCCACAGCGATGGAGTCCGAAACTGAGTGACACAGTTGGAAGAAAGCTTGCAAACTTTTCTTCTTGTATGTCTTCTTTTCTTGTGCCGTTGCCGTTGCAGGTGGAGGTACTCCTTCCTCTGTCTCCTCGTCCGCTTTGTAGAGGGGCCAGATATCAACTTCTCTTGCCCTCCGCATGAACTTAAGTCGCCATGTGCTGTAGTTGTTGCCATTGAACCGTTGCGCCTCGCTCAGGCCAATCGTTGGCCTGGCCACCACGTGCCCTTGTGTAAGGGCCTCCAAGAGGGCTTGGACTTGGGGAACTTCAGCACTGACTGAAGAACCCGAGCTTGCCTCACCATCCCCATTCGGCATGATGCAGGAACTTGTCTTGGCCCTTCTTGAATGCTTGAAACGCACTATAACCAGCTCTGATACCAGCTCTGAGACTTAAACGTAGTGAGTACGTGACTTAGCAGGTCACGAAAGTAGCAGTAGCGGGCTCCAAACTGGATCTGAAAGTTGAGAAATCAGGTTGCTTTCCAACCCAGGTTGCAAACAGAAAGTTTCACTATGAAAAATTGATACAATGAGGAAAACAGAACATGATATTTAAGCAATCTGAAATCCGAATTTCAATGTGCGCCTCGCGTAACGCGCCTCGTCGCGAATCCGAATTTCGTAACAGTAACCGGCATTGAAAACCGAAATTCAAACTGAACCGTCGGTGAAACCGACTTTCTTCAACTCCACCGAACACCGCCTCCAGAAAGGTTGGGAAAATTCTGGCGGTCCAGAACGTTCTCCCTTCTCTTCCTCCTCAAACCCTCGTTTTCACCAGCTCTTCCTCAGGATCTCTCACCTAACTCTTCCCACCGTCAGAACTCGTTATTCCAGCCTATTCTCTCCCACCGCCATAGGTAAGGCAATTTCCAAGTGTCCTGTTCTGTCGTTTTCATGCTCTAGAGTCGGTGCAGCGGCGAACCACTTCTAACACGGGCGACGGGCAGCGCGTGCGGCGAGCACACGGGAAAACGCGCGCGGAACAATCGATGTGGGCCGCGATGGGAAAGCGCGGAGACGTCGTGGTACCGAGAGCGGCCGCGGTGGTGGCGCTGGTGGTGGCGTGCTGCTGCATGTCGCGGCTCGTTCGCGCTGCACCCGTGCTGGACGCTGAGAGTAAGCCGTGCTGGACACACATTTTTCCCTCCACCTATTCAGCAAGCACAACATAAGTCCGTACCGGCAACTACCCATCACTGCTGCTTGCAGCTTTCCCTCCTGCCATCCCCTCCTCGATCCTTCTTCCCTCTCCCTGTTTCTCGCGCCTCTCCCTTGGTATCTTCCCAACACGTTTTATGGCATGGCATGGGTGAGAGGCATCATGCCATGGATGGATGCATGCCATGGATAGATGGATGGCATGGCATGGATGGATGAATCATGGATGGATGGATGGATGGATGGATCATGGATGGATGGATGGCATGGATGGATAACATTGATGGATGGCAGTGGAAGCTTTGGAGAATCTAGTTCGGAAGGATGCGCCGGGTATGAGGACATGGAGCAGAGGCACGGATTGCAACAACATGGATTGCGTGGAGTGTGATGTCAATGGGCATGTCATTGCACTGTAAGGATGTGATCGCACTGTAAGCATGTCATTGCGCTGTAAGCATGTGATCGCACTGTAAGCATGTCATCGCACTGTAAGCATGTGATCGCACTGTAAGCATGTCATTGCGCTGTAAGCATGTCTTTGCACTGTAAGCATGTCATCGCACTGTAAGCATGTCATCGCACTGTAAGCATGTCATCGCATTGTAAGCATGTCATTGCGCTGTAAGCATGTCATCGCACTGTAAGCATGTCATTGCACTGTAAGCATGTCGTTGCACTAAAAGCATGTCATTGCACTGTAAGCATGTCATTGCACTAAAAACATGTCATTGCACTGTAAGCATGTCATTGCACTGTAGGCATGTCATTGCACTGTAAGCATGTCATTGCACTGTAAGCATGCCATTGCACTAAAAGCATGTCATTGCACTGTAAGCATGTCATTGCACTGCAAGCATGTCATTGCAGTGTAAGCATGTCATTGCACTGTAAGCATGCTATTGCACTGTAAGCATGTCATTGCACTATAAGCATGCCATTGCACTGCAAGCATGCCATTGCACTGCAAGCATGCCATTGCACTGCAAGCATGCCATTGCATTGCAAGCATGCCATTGCATTGCAAGCATGCCATTGCATTGCAAGCATGCCGTTGCATTGCAAGCATGCCGTTGCATTGCAAGCATGCCGTTGCATTGCAAGCATGCCATTGCATTGCAAGCATGCCGTTGCATTGCCAGCATGCCGTTGCATTGCGAGCATGCCATTGCATTGCGAGCATGCCATTGCATTGCGAGCATGCCATTGCATTGCAAGCATGCCATTGCGAGCATGCCATTGCATTGCGAGCATGCCATTACATTGCGAGCATGCCATTGCATTGCGAGCATGCCATTGCATTGCGAGCATGCCATTGCATTGCGAGCATGCCATTGCATTGCGAGCATGCCATTGCATTGCGAGCATGCCATTGCATTGCGAGCATGCCATTGCATTGCGAGCATGCCATTGCATTGCGAGCATGCCATTGCATTGCGAGCATGCCATTGCATTGCGAGCATGCCATTGCATTGCAAGCATGCCATTGCGAGCATGCCATTGCATTGCGAGCATGCCATTGCATTGCGAGCATGCCATTGCGGCATTGCGAGCATGCCATTGCATTGCGAGCATGCCATTGCATTGCGAGCATGCCATTGCATTGCGAGCATGCCATTGCATTGCGAGCATGCCATTGCATTGCGAGCATGCCATTGCATTGCGAGCATGCCATTGCATTGCGAGCATGCCATTGCATTGCCAGCATGCCATTGCACTGCAAGCATGCCATTGCACTGCAAGCATGCCATTGCACTGCAAGCATGCCATTGCACTGCGAGCATGCCATTGCATTGCAAGCATGCCAGTGCATTGCAAGCATGCCATTGCATTGCAAGTATGCCATTGCATTGCAAGCATGCCATGGCATTGCAAGCATGCCATTGCAATGCAAGCATGCCATTGCAATGCAAGCATGCCATTGCATTGCAAGCATGCCATGGCATTGCAAGCATGCCATTGCAATGCAAGCATGCCATTGCAATGCAAGCATGCCATTGCATTGCAAGCATGCCATGGCATTGCAAGCATGCCATTGCAATGCAAGCATGCCATTGCAATGCAAGCATGCCATTGCATTGCAAGCATGCCATTGCAATGTACAACCTGCATTGCGTAGCAAGCATGGATGGCATGCCGTTACCTCTGATTCCATTTCCTTCGACTCTATGAAGCCCATATTTGAGTCGACTTCAATTCTTCCCCCTCCTTCCATGCCATTTCTCCCCCTCCTTCCATGCTGTTCCTCCCCCTCCTTCCATGCCCTTCTTCCCCCTCCTTCCATTCCATCCTTCTCCCTCCATCCATTCCATCCTTCTCTTCCCACAGCTCCATTGACCAGTGCGCCCGCATCGGCCCACTGACCCCTGCTCTCCTCGCATTGCCCTATCTCAAAGACCTGTGAGACTGCTGCTATCTCACTAATTCTCCCCCATGGTCCAATTCACCCCAATGATTCGTCGTTGCTTGTAATGAATTGTCGTTGCTTGTAATGAATTGTCGTTGCTTGTAATGAATTGTCGTTGCTTGTAATGAACTGTCGTTGCTTGTAACGAATCGTCGTTGCTTGTAATGAATTGTCGTTGCTTGAAATGAATTGTCGTTGCTTGTAATGAATTGGCTTGTAACGAATTGTCCTTGCTTTTAATGAATTGTCCATGCTTGTGATGAATTGTCCTTGCTTGTGATGAAATAATTGTCCTCGCTGGTACATTTCTCACTTATCATCACTTGGACAGACATGTCTTTGCCTGCACTGACTTGCATGTGACTGACTTGCATTGCATTTGATTGACTGAACACAGCTTCCTTTGTCTTGCCTGCCGTCTCTTCCATTCTCTTATCTTGTCTCACCCACATCACCCTCTGTGGTACCTCTCCTCATGTTTCCTCCGTTTCACTACATTTCTGCCCCTACCCCTGTGTCCATCCTTTCCCCCTTACTCCTATGAACTCCAATCCATCCACCCACCCATGTTCTTACCGCCTCTCCACCATCTTTGCGTGTGCTGCCTCTCTGGCTGCAGTGAGTTGAGGTACTGCAATCCATTCCCTTGGTTGCCCCCGGATACCCAAGGCAGAAACACCTTTCCCTTGGGACATCTGCAGCAGCTCACTCGCCTGTGAGTGCACTCGGGGAGGGGATGCAGCAGGTGGGGGAGGAGTGAGTGGGTGAGTGGGTGAGTGGCTGGGTGCTGGGTGGCTGGGTGGGTGGGTATGCGAAGCGAATTGCTGGGTGGGAGGGTGAGGGGGTGAGGTGGTAAGTGAGTGAGTGAGGTGAGAATGAGTGTAAGTGATGCAACAAGATGAGGGTTGCAGAGTTGTTCTTCCACCCGACTCTGCGTCGACACCATGTACATGTGGCGCCTCGTCCCATGTCACCCCTCATATCCCATGTCACCCCTCATATCCCATGTCACCCCTCATATCCCATGTCACCCCTCATATCCCATGTCACCCCTGATATCCCATGTCATCCCTCATATCCCATGTCACCCCTCATATCCCATGTCACCCCTCATATCCCATGTCACCCCTCATATCCCATGTCACCCCTCATATCCCATGTCACCCCTCATATCCCATGTCACCCCTCATATCCCATGTCACCCCTTGATAGAATTGGAACTGAACTGATTTCTTGATAAGGAAGGCACTAGGCCTTGTACAAACACGGTTGGGTTGAGCAAAGCTAGGGAAAGGATGGGATGGGAATCCTAGCAAATCTCGAATTGGTGAGTTGGCAGATTTGCAGGATTACGAGGGACTCCCAACCAGATAGGGTTGGGATTACAAATCTACACCCAACCTACAAAGTAACCTAACCGATATAGAATATAGTACAAAGTGTTGACTGACTATTTCTAACACCCCTCATATCCCATGTCACCCCTCATATCCCATGTCACCCCTCATATCCCATATCACCCCTCATATCCCATGTCACCCCTCATATCCATGTCACCCCTCATATCCCATGTCACCCCTCATATCCCATGTCACCCCTCATATCCCATGTCACCCCTCATATCCCATGTCACCCCTCATATCCCATGTCACCCCTCATATCCCTTGTCATCCCTCATATCCCATTTCACCCCTCATATCCCATGTCATCCCTCATATCCCATGTCACCCCTCATATCCCATGTCATCCCTCATATCCCATGTCACCCCTCATATCCCATGTCACCCCTCATATCCCATGTCATCCCTCGTATCCCATGTCACCCCTCATATCCCATGTCACCCCTCATATCCCATGTCACCCCTCATATCCCATGTCACCCCTCATATCCCATGTCACCCCTCATATCCCATGTCACCCCTCATATCCCATGTCACCCCTCATATCCCATGTCACCCCTCATATCCCTTGTCATCCCTCATATCCCATGTCACCCCTCATATCCCATGTCGCCCCTCATATCCCATGTCACCCCTCATATCCCATGTCACCCCTCATATCCCATGTCACCCCTTGATAGAATTGGAACTGAACTGATTTCTTGATAAGGAAGGCACTAGGCCTTAAGTACAAACACGGTTGGGTTGAGCAAAGCTAGGGAAAGGATGGGATGGGAATCCTAGCAAATCTCCAATTGGTGAGTTGGCAGATTTGCAGGATTACGAGGGAATCCCAACCAGATAGGGTTGGGATTGCAAATCTACACCCAACCTACAAAGTAACCTAACCGATATAGAATATAGTACAAAGTGTTGACTGACTATTTGTAACACACCCCCTAGGCTGACAACACTTCAGCCACATGGCGGCCCAACACCTATGGACGAGAGGAGGCGGTAGTGGTCTTGGCGAACAAGAGACTTGGTAAACAAGTCAGCAAGGTTGCAGTCGGAGGCAATGTGTTCAGCCTTCAGCTGCTCGCGCTGCACCAGCTCACGAAGAAAGTAATGACGGACCTCAATGTGCTTGGTGCGGCCGTGGAAGACGGGGTCCTTTGTGAGATGAATGGTGCTCTCGCTGTCACACCAAAGCGTTGGGGCTGGTTGAGGATACCCAAGTTCTGCCAGCAAAAAGGAGAGCCAACGGGCCTCCTAAGCAGCCATGGTCCCGGCATACAGCTCGGCCTCACAGGTCGACAGTGAGACGGAAGACGACCGAGTGGAGCGCCAACTTACAACCCCACTGCCAAGGGTAAAGCAATACCCTTGGGAAGAGCGCCGATCACTCTGGTCATTAGCATAGGAGGAGTCACTGTACCCCTCAAGGCGAACAGGGGAAGAGCCGCCAAGAGTGAGCACATAGTCCTATGTGCCTTTGAGATAGCGGAGGACCCGCTTGGCGGCAGACCAGTGGAGGCTCGTGAAGCGACTAGGTGCAACGTAGCGAGACAGGACACTGACTTGATAGGCCAAGTCTGGTCGAGTGCACATCATCGCGTACATGAGGGAACCAACGAGCTCGGGATAAGCTTCATCACAGGGCTCAGGTGAGGGAATAGGTTGCAGTGAGTTGGTGCTGTAGAGAGAGTGGGGTGGGCATTGAAGCTACTTCCTGCATCTTGAACATGGTCAGAACGTTGTTGATGTAGAACTTCTGAGAGAGGGTGATGGTGCGGGCCGTGCGATCACGTGTGATTTCCATGCCCAGATAGTTCATAAGCTTCCCAAGATCCTTCATGGCCAGCTTCTCACCAAGTGCGGTTTCGACTGCTGCCAGCTCAGTCTGATCCTTGGTGACAAGGATCATGTCATCGACATAAACCAAGATGAAGAAGCGGGATGGTGTTGCTCGGATGAAGAGGCTGGGGTCAGAAGTGGATGGGTGAAAGTCGAGGGACCCTAAGGTGCTCTTGAGCTTGTTTTGCCATTCCCGGGGTGCTTGCTTGAGGCCATAGACTGGTCGATTCAGCTTCCATACAGTGCCTGGTCGAAAAGGAGCTGGAAATACTTCGGGCCGCACCATGTAGATTTCCTCTCGAAGGATTCCTTGCAGAAACGCAGAAGAAACATCCATGCAGTCAACCTCCATGTCATCTCGAGCGACAACATCGAGAAGGGTGCGTAGTGTGGGAGGTTTGGCGGTGGGAGAGAATGTCTCAAAGAAGTCCAGTCCATGCTTTTGGGTAAATCCCTTGGCACAGTACCGGGCTTTGAAGACAGGAAATTCGCCTGGAAGTTGTTTCACCCGGAAAACCCATTTTCCCTTCACAATGTTGACGCCGGAGGGAGGAGAGAAATCTGTGAAAGTTCCTGTGTGAATGAAGGCCTCACACTCTGCGACAATGGCCCCTAGTCACTGAGCGGCGTGAGGACCAGAAACTGCTTCAGCGTAGGTGAGAGGTGTGGGAATGGAGGGGTTGTCCGAGAAGTTGAGGGTGGGAGATTCTGCGATATCTGGAAAGAGGGAGTAGAGCGCGTGTATGGCTGAGTCAATCTGAATCAACTCCTCATGTCTGTCCTCAAGAAGGGAGGGCATGAGCGAAGAATCACCCCCGACAGGAGGAGGATTGAGAGAGACACGAATGGAAAGGGAAAGAGGCTTGGGAGCTTTGTGCGAGCGGGTGCGACCAGCGATGGGGGAGGGAGGCGGAGCTGGAGGAGGAGAAGCAGTTGGTGTAGTGGCAGCATCAAGAGCAGCAGCTGGATCAGGAGCAGGAGCCAGATCAGGAGCAGGAGCCAGATCAGGAGCAAGAGCTGGATCAGGAGGAGCAGCAACAGGAGAACGGCGTTGGTAGGTTTTGAGAGGAATGGGCTCGGGGGCGGGAAGGAGCGGGGGAGACTGCGTGGTGCTAGATGGGGAAGCGGGTGACGGGGGGTCGGAAACTGTGGAGGGAGCGGGAAGAGGAGATGGAGTGGTGGCAGGAGGAAGGCTGTCAAAGTCAGCCCAAGTAAGAGAAGGAGGCGGAGGAGAAGGAGAAACTGTGGAGGAGGGGTAGAATGGGTGGGATTCATCGAAGAAAACATCTCGGCTACGATAGAGTTTGTTGGTGGAAGGATGGAGGAAGAGGTAGTCTGGCGAGTCCGAGTTGTGCCCGAGGTACACGAACGTGATTGTTTTCGGAGCAAGCTTGCCGCCAGCTGCACGACAGGTTTGGGAGTTGAGGAGGACTTAGGAAGTGCACCCCCATACACGAAGAGGGCGGACGGACGGCTTTTGACCCGTCCACAGCTCTGCGGGGGTGGTGTGGGTGTGGTGAGGATGAGGATGGAGATTGTGGAGGGCGACAGCATGGAGCATGGCGTATCCCCAAAGAGAGGGAGGGGCGGAAGCATGAGTGAGGAGGCAGCGAACAATCTGCACCAGGATGCGGTTTCGGCTCTCAGCAACACCGTTCTGTTGAGGGCTATCTGGGAGAGTGAAGGTCTGACGAATACCCTCAGTAGAGCAGAAAGCTTTGAGAGTGTTGTTGCGGAATTCACTGCCACCGTCAGAGTGAAGAATCTTGATTTTTGTTTTGAAGTGTGAATGAGCCTGCCTGACCCATTCCATGATGATGGATGGAGCTTCAGACTTGGCGGTGAGAAGGTGAACGGACACATAGCGGGAATAGTCATCAATGATGACAAGGAAATAGAAGTGTCCGCCACGGGAACGAACAGGAGCTGGACCCCAAAGGTCCATGTGTACGCGATCGAGAGGTGCGGTAGAGTTGGACTTAGTGGGAGGATGGGGCTGTTCCCGAAGCTTGCTCTGTGCACAGTCAAGGCAAGGCGGTCCAGAAAGAGAGGGGGGTTGTGGAAGTGAGGCGGGCAGCCCATGAAGGAGTTGTTTGGTGGCAAGGTCTGAAAGTGCGCGGAAGTTGATGTGGCCAAGGCGGTTATGAAATAGCATAGTCTTGTCAGTGAGGAGGTGGTAGTGACATGAGGGGGAGTATGAGGATGGAAGCGGAAGGTTGGTGAGGGAGCATGTTTGAACGGGAGGTACAACTAGTGTGTACAGGTTGTTGGAGTTGAGGGTGAAGCGGGCAAGATGGAGTCCGGTTTTGGCGTCAAACATGTCACAGTAGTCAACATCATTGGGAAAGATGGTGATCACGCCTGCGTGTTGGATTTCCCGCTGTTCAAGAAGGTTGTAGCGGAGGGTTGGGGCACAAATGCCAGTGCCTGTGCCGGATGGGAAAGCTGGACAGGAAACTGTGGAGGACCCATGGCATTGGATGGAGAAACTAGAATTGGCTCCAAGGAGTGAGGTGGGAGCCTGGTAGGGAACGAAGGCGGTTTGGTCTTTAAGCATTGTGTGGGTGGCACCACTGTCTAGTATGAACTCAATTCCCTGTGTGGTTGAAACACCGATGTACTGCGACCCCTTCTCATTAATAAGACCAGCACCAGAGAACAACAGGTTAAGGCGAACATCAGATGGGGCACTAGCAAATGCCTGAGCCGGTTCCTCTACTGCCTCGACCTGGTTCACGCGACGGGGTGGTGCCCAGTTGGGAGGGCGCTTGTCCTTGGAGACACCGTGGACGTCATACCACTCGTCATCTCGCTTCTTGAAGCAAGTGGCCTCAGGGTGGTTGGTACCGTTGCATTTCTGCCCCGCACGTGGACCCTTCCTAATGAGGTACTGGCATGGGGGAAAGGAGTTGCGTCTCTGGCCTTGCTGGGAACGAAATGGGATGCCAGGGGAGTAGTGCACAGCATTGACGGATGCCTGGGCTGCAAGGTCCTTTTCGGCAGAGAGAAGGGCCGAAGCGACTTTCTCGAAGGTGAGTTCCTTGGTGGGGAGCTGCTTGAGCATGGAACTGGTGACGTTGTAGGCCGGGGTGAGTCCAACGAGAAGCCTAGCAGCAGGTGCCTGTTCGGGGAAGGTGATCCCAATGTCCTTGAGCTCCTCATGGATGTTGCGGATTTCAGAGATGTAGTCTGCCATGCCCGAGCATTCCTCAAGGAGGATTTGGAACATGCGAGGAATGAGGATTGCAACTCCCACGGCAGATTTGTCATGAGAACGATCCTGGAGGTACTTCCAAATGTCATGCGCAGAGCGGAAGGTGCGGTAGGACTTGACTAACTCAGCTGGGGTGGTGGTGATGAAAACCCTAATCACTGCCGCATCTGCCTGCTCCCAGAGATTGAAGTCCGTCTCATACTTGGTGGTCTTAGCGTCGAAAGCAAGCTTGGCTGTGGCAGTGGCGCCTTCGCCGAGAGGATCGGGAGGGAGAGGCATCTTCCCCTTGCGGTGGTTGAGGAGGATGTCCTTGAGGCAAATCCCCTTGAGCTCTGAGCTAAGAAGGTGCTTCTCCACTCCATAGCACCACTCCCCGAAATTGGTGCTCGTGCCGTTGGGAGCGAGGTTAAGGATGATGAGGTTTCCGACGAGAGTGGAAGTTAAAGTTGCCATTTCGCGCGGAGCGCAGCGCTAAAGTCTCCGATACGTAGCGGAACGAAGCGATTTTGGAAATTGAGGAAGTCCGAAACGCGATTTTGACAATAGAATGTCCGTAATATACCCTGCTATACTGCTTCGCCGATGCCCCCTATTCTGCTTCGCTGCTGCCCCTGTTCCGCTTCTCTACTGCGCCGCTGACCTGTTCTGCTGCGCCGCTGGACCTGTTCTGCTGCACCGCTGGACCTGTTCTGCTGCGCCGCTGAACCTGTTCTGCTGCGCCGCTAGACCTGTTCTGCTGCGCCGCTGAAAACCTGTTCTGCTGCGCCGCTGGACCTGTTCCGCTGCGCCGCTGAACCTGTTCCGCTGCGCCGCTGGACCTGTTCTGCTGCGCCGCTGGACCTGTTCTGCTGCCCCGCTGAAAACCTGTTCTGCTGCGCCTCTGGACCTGTTCCGCTGCGCCGCTGAACCTGTTCCGCTGCGCCGCTGGACCTGTTCCGCTGCGCCGCTGAAAACCTGTTTGAAGTTAAGAAGATGCGAAAATTGCCACGGAGATTTAAAAACCAGAAGCTTACGATGAAGGAAGTCGAAAACTGAGAATGTCGCCGTTGAAAAACAAGATGCGCGATGAAGGAAACCGAATGCGCGCTTGACCGGAGCGACGATGTGAAGTTTCTGAAAAAACGCTAAGCGTAGGAGCCGGGAACCGAAATAGGCATAGCCTAGAAGGAGAGAACCATCAGGACGCCAAGGATCGGATTCCGCGTGAGCGGAATTTACTAGCTCGATACCATGATAGAATTGGAACTGAACTGATTTCTTGATAAGGAAGGCACTAGGCCTTAAGTACAAACACGGTTGGGTTGAGCAAAGCTAGGGAAAGGATGGGATGGGAATCCTAGCAAATCTCCAATTGGTGAGTTGGCAGATTTGCAGGATTACTAGGGAATCCCAACCAGATAGGGTTGGGATTACAAGTCTACACCCAACCTACAAAGTAACTTAACCGATATAGAATATAGTACAAAGTGTTGACTGACTATTTCTAACACCCCTCATATCCCATGTCACCCCTCATATCCCATGTCACCCCTCGTATCCCATGTCACCCCTCATATCCCATGTCACCCCTCATATCCCATGTCACCCCTCATATCCCATGTCACCCCTCATATCCCATGTCACCCCTCATATCCCATGTCACCCCTCATACCCCATGTCACCCCTCATATCCCATGTCACCCCTCATATCCCATGTCACCCCTCATATCCCATGTCATCCCTCATATCCCATGTCACCCCTCATATCCCATGTCACCCCTCATATCCCATGTCACCCCTCATATCCCATGTCACCCCTCATATCCCATGTCACCCCTCATATCCCATGTCACCCCTCATATCCCATGTCACCCCTCATATCCCATGTCACCCCTCATATCCCATGTCACCCCTCATATCCCATGTCATCACTCATATCCCATGTCACCCCTCATATCCCATGTCACCCCTCATATCCCATGTCACCCCTCATATCCCATGTCACCCCTCATATCCCATGTCATCCCTCATATCCCATGTCACCCCTCATATCCCATGTCACCCCTCATATCCCATGTCACCCCTCATATCCCATGTCACCCCTCATATCCCATGTCACCCCTCATATCCCATGTCACCCCTCATAGCCCATGTCACCCCTCATAGCCCATGTCATCCCTCATATCCCATGTCACCCCTCATATCCCATGTCACCCCTCATATCCCATGTCACCCCTCATATCCCATGTCACCCCTCATATCCCATGTCACCCCTCATATCCCATGTCACCCCTCATATCCCATGTCACCCCTCATATCCCATGTCACCCCTCATATCCCATGTCACCCCTCATATCCCATGTCATCCCTCATATCCCATGTCACCCCTCACATCCCATGTCACCCCTCATATCCCATGTCACCCCTCATATCCCAAGTCATCCCTCATATCCCATGTCACCCCTCATATCCCATGTCACCCCTCATATCCCATGTCACCCCTCATATCCCATGTCACCCCTCATATTCCATGTCATTCCTCATATCCCATGTCACCCCTCATATCCCATATGACCCGTCACACCCCATCTTCCCCCTCACACCCCATTTTTCCCCTCACACCCCATCTTTCCCCTCACACCCCATCTTTCCTCTCACACCCCATTGCCATGAACTCTTTGCTCCCACCTGCATTGCGTGCAGCTCCCTACTCCATTCCCATGTCCCTAAACCCTCATATCCCATGTCATCCCTCATATCCCATGTCACCACTCATATCCCATGTCACCCCTCATATCCGATATGACCCGTCACACCCCATCTTCCCCCTCACACCCCATCTTTCCCCTCACACCCCATCTTTCCCCTCACACCCCATCTTTCCCCTCACACCCCATCTTTCCTCTCACACCCCATCGCCATGAACTCTTTGCTCCCACCTGCACTGCGTGCAGCTCCCTACTCCATTCTATCTCCTGCCACTCGTTTCTTTCCTTCAGCCTCTGGTCAACAGACCTCTCTGCCCTGCAGCGCCCACTGATGTTGCTAAACCCTCCACATTCATGGTGCATGGATGGTGCATGCATGGATGGTGCATGGATGATGCATGGATGGTGCATGGAAGCTGCATGCATGGTGCATACATGGTGCATACATGGCGCATGGATGATGCATGCATAATGGATGGTGCATAGATGGTTTATGCATGGTTGGTTGTATGGTGCATGCATGGTGGATGATTCACGCATGGTGGACGCATGGTGCATTCAGGCATTTGTCCAAAGCCCTTCTACTCCCCTCGCTACCAGACGAGCTCTCCCAGCTGCACAACCTGCAGTCTTTGTAAGGCTGGGTGAGGGGCACGTGATGGCAGGATGGCATGTGATGGCAGGATGGCATGTGATGGCAGGATGGCATGTGATGGCAGGATGGCATGTGATGGCATGTGGTGGCATGTGATGGCATGTGATGGCATGGGATGGCATGTGATGGCATGGGATGGCATGTGATGGCATGGGATGGCAAGTGATGGTACCCCATCTTGATGTGCGAAGCCTGACGGTGAAGTGTTGTGTACAGCTTGCAGCATGAAAGGAAGATACACATGCTCCTTTCTTTTCTGTTGCAGCATGAAAGGAAGATACACATGCTCCTTTCTTTTGCAGCATGAAAGGAAGATACTCATGCTCCTTTCTTTTCTTTTGCCATGCTCCCCCCTCTTGCCATGCTCCCCCCTCTTGCCATGCTTCCTCCCCTCCTTTGTACTCCTCGCTCTTCATTCATTTCCACCTTGGCCATCCTACCCCCTTCCCCACAACTTCCCTATTTCTTGGCTGCTCCTTGCCTCTTTACTGCTCCTCCCCTCTTGACGGCTCCCTCTCTTTTGACGGCTCCCTCTCTTTTGACGGCTCCCTCTCTTTTGACGGCTCCCTCTCTTTTGACGGCTCCCTCTCTTTTGACAGCTCCCTCTCTTTTGACGGCTCCCTCTCTCTTGGCTGCGCGCATCTTCAGGCACGTGGCCAACCATCATCAGGTGCTAGAATTAGGCTGTCAACACTTTGTGTACTATATTCTATATCGCGTAGGTTATTTGCAGGTTGGGTGTAGTTTGTGATCCCAACCCTATTTGGTTGGGATTCCCTCGTAATCCTGCAAATCTGCCAACTCACCAATTGGAGATTTGCTAGGATCCCCATCCCATCTTTTCCCTCGCCTTGCCCATCCCAACCTCGTTTGTACTTAAGGCCTAGTGCCTTCTTTCCTAATCAATAAGTTCAGTTCCAATTCTATCATGGTATCGAGCTAGCAAATTCCGCTCACGCGGAATCCGATCCTTGGCGTCGCGATCATTCTCTTCCTCTCGGCTATGGTGTCTCGGTTCACGCCTTCTTCGCTTAGCGTTTTTCGTCTTCACATCGTCGCACTGGTCAAAAGCGCTTTCCCGCTCCGTCTACGTGCATTTCCGATTTCCACGGCGGCACATTTCTCCGTCAATTTCCTTCATCGTAAGCTCTGAAATTTCAAATTTCCGTGGCAATTTTCTCACATTCTAAACTTCCAGCAGGTTTTCATCGGTGCAGCAGAGCAGGTTCAGCGGCGCAGCAGAGCAGGTTCAGCGGCGCAGCAGAGCAGGTTCAGCGGCGCAGCAGAGCAGGTCAGCGGCGCAGCAGGGCAGGTTCAGCGGCGCAGCAGAGCAGGTTCAGCGGCGCAGCAGAGCAGGTTCAGCGGCGCAGCAGAGCAGGTTCAGCGGCGTAGCAGAGCAGGTTCAGCGGCGCAGCAGCACAGGTCAGCGGCGCAGCGGAACAGGTCATTGGCGCAGTTGAAAAGGGGTCATCGGCGAAGCATAGAAGCAGAACAGGAATCGCAATCTTATTGGCGAAATTGAACTTCGCTCCGCTTCGCTCCGCTTCGTATCGTTGACTTTAGCGCTGCGCTCCGCGCGAATGGCGACTTCAACTTCTACCCTAGTCGGAAACCTCATCATTCTCAACCTCGCTCCCAACGGCACGAGCACCAACTTTGGAGAATGGTGCTATGGGGTGGAGAAGCACCCCCTTAGCACAGAACTGAAGGGGATTTGCCTCAAGGACATCCTCTTCAACCGCGGCAAGGGAAAGATGCCTCTCCCTCCCGATCCCCTTGGCGAAGGCGCCACTGCCGCAGAGAAGGCCGCTCTTGACGCTCAGACCACCAAGTACGAGACTGATTTCAGTGTGTGGGAGCAGGCAGATGCAGTAGTTATTAGGGTTTTCATCACCACCACTCCGGTTGAGCTCGTCAAATCCTACCGCACCTTTCGTTCCGCTCATGCGATTTGGAAGTACCTCTAGGACCGTTTCCATGACAAGACAGCAGTGGGTGTTGCCATCCTCATCCCTCGAATGTTCCAGGTCTGACTTGAGGAATGCCCTGGCATGGCAGATTACATCTCTGAAATCCGCAACATCCATGAGGAACTCAAGGACATTGGGATCATTTTCCCCGAACAGGCACCTGCAGCTGGCCTACTTGTAGGACTGACCCCGGCCTACAATGTCACCAGCTCCATGCTCAAGCAACTTCCCACCAAGGAACTCACCTTCGAAAAAGTCGCATCGGCTCTCCTTTCCGCCGAAAAAGACCTTGCAGCCCAAGCATCCGTCAATGCTGTGCGCTACACCCCTGGAATCCCATTCCGTTCCCAACAAGGACCAAGGCGCAACTCCTTTCCCCCATGCCCCTACATCATTAGGAAAGGCCCACGTGCGGGGCAGAAATGCGGAGGCACCAACCACCCTGAGGCAACTTGCTTCAAGAAGCGAGATGATGAGTGGTACGACGTCCATGGTGTCTCCACCAACAAGCGCCCTCCCAACTGGGCCCCACCCCGTCGCGTGAACCATGCCGAGGCAGTGGAGGTGCCTAGTCCCTCAGTTGATAGCACCCCATCTGATATTCGCCTCAACCTGTTGTTCTCAGGTGCTGGTCTTATTAATGAGAAGGGGTCAGAGTACATCGGTGTTTCAAACACACAAGGGATCGAGTTCATACTAGATAGTGGTGCCACCCACACAGTGCTCAAAGACCAAACCGCGTTCGTTCCTTACCAGGCTCCCATCCCACTCCTCGAAGCCGACTCTAGCTTCTCCATCCAATGCCATGGGTCCTCCACAGTTCCTTGTCCAGCATTTCCATCGGGCACAGTCACTGGCATCTGTGCCCCCACCCTCCGCCATAACCTCTTGGCACCAAGTGAAATCCAACAAGCAGGAGTGATCACCATCTTTCCCAATGATGTCGACTACTGTGACCTCTTTGACGCCAAAACCGGCATTCATCTAGCCCGCTTCACTCTCAACTCCAACAACCTATACACGCTCGTAGTACCTCCAATTCAGACGTGCTCACTCACAAACCTCCCGTTACCTTCCCTTGACTCCTCCACCTGTCACTGCCGCCTCCTTTCCGACAAAACCATGCTCTTTCATCACCGCCTTGGCCACATCAACTTTCGCGCGCTTTCAGACCTTGCCACAAAACAACTCCTCCACGGGCTTCCAACCTCACTTCCCTCTCCTACCTCCACCCTAGGGCCGCCTTGCCTTGACTGTGCACAGAGCAAGCTTCGTGAACAGCCCCATCCCCCCACTGAGTCCATCTCCGCTGCACCTCTCGATCGCGTGCACATGGACCTTTGGGGCCCAGCTCCTGTTCGCTCTCGCGGTGGACACTTTTACTTCCTTGTCATCATTGATGACTATTCCCGCTATGTGTGTGTCCACCTTCTCTCCTCCAAATCCGAAGCCCCAGGCGTCATCATTGAATGGGCAAAGCAGGCTCACAAACACTTCAAAACCACCATCAAGGTCCTTCACTCTGACGGTGGCGGTGAATTCCGCAACAACACTCTCAAAGCTTACTGCTCCACTGAGGGTATCCGTCAGACCTTCACTCTCCCGGATAGTCCCCAACAGAACGGTATTGCCGAAAGCCGGAACCGTACATTGGTGCAGATTGTTCGCTGCCTCCTCACGCACGCCTCCGCCCCTCCCTCTCTCTGGGGGTACGCCATGCTTCATGCTGCCGCCCTCCACAATCTCCATCCCCATCCTCATCACACCCACACCACCCCCGCTGAGCTATGGACGGGTCAAAAGCCATCCGTCCGCCCTCTTCGTGTATGGGGGTGCACTTCCTAAGTCCTCCTCAACTCCCAAGCCCGTCGTGCGGCTGGCGGCAAACTTGCTCCCAAAACGATCACGTGCGTATACCTCGGGCACAACTTAGATTCGCCAGACTATCTCTTCCTCCATCCTTCCACCAACAAGCTCTATCGCAGCCGGGACGTTTACTTTGATGAGTCCCACCCATTCTACCCCTCCTCCAAGGCTTCCCCCTCTCCTCCGCCTCCCTCTCTTACTTGGGCTGACTTTGACAGTCTCCCTCTTCCCGACACTCCATCTCCTCCTCTTCCCGCTCCCTCCACCATTTCTGATCCCCCATCACCCGTCTCCCCCTCCAGTACCACACAGTCTCCCTCGCTCCCTCCCTCCTCCGCTACCCCTCCTCCATCTCCTCTCGCATCTCCTCCTACCGAGCCCGTTCCTCTCAAAACCTGCCAACGCCGTCACCCAGCTCCTCCTCCTCCTGCTCCCACCCCTGATCCCGATCCTGTCTCCACTCTCCCTCCCACTCCCACCTCCCCTTCCGCTGCGCCTACTCCGGCCCCGCCTCCCTCACCCATCGCTTCTCGCACCCGCTCTCGCACACCTCCACAACCGTTCTCCCTTTCCGTTCGCGTCTCTCTCAATCCTCCTCCTGTCGGGGGTGATTATTCTCTCATGCCATCCCTCCTTGAAGACAGACATGAGGAGTTGATTGATATCGACTCAGCCATCCACGCACTCTGCTTCCTCTTTCCACACATCGCAGACTCTCCCACCCTCAATTTCTCCGACAACCCCACCATCCCCACACCTCTCACCTATGCTGAAGCAGTCTCTGGTCCTCACGCCGCTCAGTGGTTGGGGGCCATTGTCGCAGAATGTGAGGCCTTCATTCACACAGGAACTTTCACAGACGTCTCTCCTCCCTCCGGCGTCAACATTGTGAAGGGAAAATGGGTCTTTCGGGTGAAACAACTTCCAGACGAATTTCCTGTATTCAAAGCCCGGTACTGTGCCAAGGGATTTACCCAAAAGCGTGGACTGGACTTCTTTGAGACATTCTCTCCCAGCGCCAAACCTCCCACACTGCGCACCCTTCTCGATGTCGCTGCTCGAGATGACATGGAGGTTGACTGCATGGATGTGTCTTCTGCGTTCCTGCAAGGGATCCTTCGAGAGGAAATCTATATGGAGCGGCCCGAAGGATTTCCAGCTCCTTTTCCACCAGGCACTGTATGGAAGCTGAATCGGCCAGTGTATGGCCTCAAGCAAGTTCCCCGGGAATGGCACAACAAGCTAAAGAGCACCTTAGGGTCCCTCGACTTTCACCCATCCACCTCTGACCCTAGCCTCTTCATCCGAGCAACACCCTCCCGGTTCTTCATCCTCGTTTATGTCGATGACATGATCCTTGTCACCAAGGATCAGACTGAGCTGGCAGCAGTCAAAACCGCACTTGGTGAGAAGCTGGCCATGAAGGACCTTGGGAAGCTGACGAACTATTTGGGAATGGAAATCACACGTGATCGCACAGCCCGCACCATCACCCTTTCGCAGAAGTTTTACATCAACAATGTTCTGACAAGGTTCCAGATGCAAGAAGCAGCATCAATGCCCACCCCACTCTCTCTGCAACACCAACTCACTGCACCCTCCGTTCCCTCACCTGAGCCCTGTGCCGAGCCTTACCCCGAGCTCGTGGGATCCCTCATGTACGCGATGATGTGCACTCGACCAGACTTAGCCTATCCAGTCAGTGTACTGTCCCGCTACGTTGCACCTGGTCGCTTCACTCGCCACCAGTGGTCTGCCGCCAAGCGGGTTCTTCGCTATCTCAAAGGCACACAGGATTATGTGCTCACACTTGGCGGCACTTCCCCGGTTCGCCTTGAGGGGTACAGTGACTCATCCTATGCTGATGACCAGAGTGAACGGCGCTCGTCCCAAGGGTATTGCTTTACCCTTGGCAGTGGGGTTGTAAGTTGGCGCTCCACTCGGTCGTCCTCCGTCTCACTGTCGACCTGTGAGGCAGAGCTGTATGCCGGGACCATGGCTGCACAGGAGGCTCGTTGGCTCTCCTTCCTGCTGACAGAACTGGGGTATCCCCAACCAACCCCAACGCTTTGGTGTGACAACGAGAGCACCATTCATCTCACCAAAGACCCCGTTTTCCATGGCCGCACCAAGTACATTGAAGTCCGTCACTACTTTCTTCGTGAGCTGGTGCAGCGCGAGCAGCTGAAGGCTGAACACATTGCCTCCGACTGCAACCTTGCTGACTTGTTTACCAAGTCGCTTGTTCGCGAGGATCATTACCGCCTCCTCTCGGCCATGGGTGTTGGGCCTCCTTGTGGCTGATGTGTTGCAGCCTAGGGGGTGTGTTAGAATTAGGCTATCAACACTTTGTGTACTATATTCTATATCGCGTAGGTTATTTGCAGGTTGGGTGTAGTTTGTGATCCCAACCCTATCTGGTTGGGATTCCCTCGTAATCCTGCAAATCTGCCAACTCACCAATTGGAGATTTGCTAGGATCCCCATCCCATCTTTTCCCTCGCCTTGCCCATCCCAACCTCGTTTGTACTTAAGGCCTAGTGCCTTCTTTCCTAATCAATAAGTTCAGTTCCAATTCTATCATCAGGCATGTGGCCAACCATCATCAACTGTCTGGGAAGCTGCCTGGGTGGATCTTCAGCCTCACAGACTTGACTTCATTGTGCGTGCTGCCATGCACCATCTCCCATGCCCTGCCATGCACCATCTGCCATGCACCATCTCCCATGCCCTGCCATGCCATGCACAACGCCCAATTGAACACCATTTTCCATTAAATCCGTGCCCTTGTCACCTTACTCCTAAATTACCTACCTTTGGAATTTTGATGTAGTCCATTATACCACATTGGTTCGCTTCAGGACGCTCTGATTTTTGAAGTAGCATACAACTCAAAGTTCACAAATCCGCACTCCTCCCAAACCCTTTCCATCTACCCCCTTCCATTCTCTTTCCCATGCCTTCCCGCCCGGCCTTCTTTCTCCGATGGTTCCCCCACCCTCTCTGCCCCGCCTTGCTCCCTGCATCTACCCACCCTCTCTGCCCCGCCCTGCTCCCTGCTTCTATCTACCCACCCTCTCAATATACAAGGACTATTTCTGGAAACAGCTTTTCAGGCTCCATTCCAGACGCAATTAGCAACCTCAAGCAGCTACGGGAGTTGTGAGTGGTGATGGGGAGTTGTGAGTGGTGATGGGGCCAGCATGCAAGGTGCTGTGGGATGACCAGGTGTGGTAGCCTGATAGGAGTGCTTGTGTGGATGAGTGGCTAAATGACTGAGTGCAGACACATGCACTGGTGATACATGCACTTGATGCACTGCTGACACATGCACTGCTGACACATGCACTGCTGGTGCTGCAAGCATTGCCAATGCATGCGAGGCCATGTGCTATCAACCTTCCCCCAACCTTCCCGCACCCAACCTCCACCGTTCCACGTCACCGTTCCTCTCTGTACCACACTTCACCGCACTGTGCCGCATGTGGTCGCAGATGCCTTGGGGAGCAAATGCTCTCAGGGCCCATACCTGAGTCAATCGGAGCTCTCACCAACCTGGAACTCATGTAAGGACGAACGCTGCCCGAAATAAAGCAACCGATTTCAAACTGGTTCATGTGTGCAGCTGCTGACATGCCTTGCTTTGGATTGAAGTTGCAATACTTGTGCATTATGATACCTGCAAACAATTGTTGCTCGATTTCACAACTCACCTTATAGGTCAACCGGACTCAAAAAGCATTGCACACCGTGAATCTTGAGAAGGACTGTGTTGGTACTGTTTCCTGTCCTTTTTCACAAGTTTCATGTGCCTTTGCAATGGATTTTGTGTGCAAGCATTCCTAATTTCATTCCTTTGGAGCTTTTCCAGCGACATGGCTCATTGTTTTGACTACTCAGTGCTTTGGATCCACCTGTTCTTCCCTGAGCTGCCACACATGCTGTACTCACTCAGCTTCAGTCCAATGCCGATTCATGCCACCCCATGCCATCCCACGGCTTTCATGCCATCCCATGCCATCCCATGCGACGACATGGCAGATGGCTGGAAGGCAACGGTCTGAGTGGCACCATTCCGGCCTCCATAGGCAACCTCTCCGCACTCACCACCCTGTGCGCATATTCTCCCTCCACCTACCTCTCTCCCGTTCTCCTTCGCCCTAAGCTTCCCATCTCTAAGGTATCGGCAGGAGACTACCACAACATTACATGCTTTCCAGTCACCTGTGAACTTGGCAGTGTGAAGTGGTCACCTCCACTTTTTGAATCCATTTTTATATCCTGTGCTCCTCCTCCCTGCATGCCTTGCACGTCCCTGCATGCCTTGCACGTCCCTGCATTCAGTGCCTCCCCACCCCTCACTGCCCACTCCCCACCATCGCCATGCTTCAGGAAGCTCGTCCGCAACAATCTCTCAGGCTCCATTCCAGAGGCAGTGAGCAGCCTTAAGCAGCTGAGGGAGTTGTGAGTGGTGATGGGAAGTTGTGAGTGGTGATGGGGATTTGTAGCTTATGCTGTAGCTTCTGCAACCAGTTCCATCCCATCCCATCCAGGGCCCATCCATTCCCATCCATTCCCATCCATTCCCATCCATTCCCATCCAGTCCCATCCATTCCCATCCATTCCCATCCATTCCCATCCATTCCCATCCATTCCCATCCAGTCCCATCCATTCCCATCCATTCCCATCCATTCCCATTTATTCCCATCCAGTCCCATCCATTCCCATCCATTCCCATCCATTCCCATCCATTCCCATCCATTCCCATCCAGTCCCATCCATTCCCATCCACTCCCATCCACTCCCATCCATTCCCATCCATTCCCATCCAGTCCCATCCATCCCATCCATTCCCATCCATTCCCATCCATTCCCATCCAGTCCCATCCATTCCCATCCATTCCCATCCATTCACATCCAGTCCCATCCACTCCCATCCAGTCCCATCCATTCCCGTCCAGTCCCATCCATTCCCATCCATTCCCATCCACTCCCATCCATTCCCATCCATTCCCATCCAGTCCCATCCATCCCATCCATTCCCATCCATTCCCATCCAGTCCCATCCATCCCATCCATTCCCATCCATTCCCATCCATTCCCATCCATTCCCATCCATTCACATCCAGTCCCATCCACTCTCATCCAGTCCCATCCATTCCCGTCCAGTCCCATCCATTCCCATCCATTCCCATCCACTCCCATCCATTCCCATCCATTCCCATCCAGTCCCATCCATCCCATCCATTCCCATCCATTCCCATCCAGTCCCATCCAGTCCCATCCATTCCCATCCATTCCCATCCAGTCCCATCCATTCCCATCCATTCCCATCCACTCCCATCCATTCCCATCCATTCCCATCCAGTCCCATCCATCCCATCCATTCCCATCCATTCCCATCCAGTCCCATCCATTCCCATCCATTCCCATCCATTCCCATCCATTCCCATCCAGTCCCATCCAGTCCCATCCGGTCCCATCCATTCCCATCCATTCCCATCCAGTCCCATCCAGTCCCATGAGTCCTATCCAGTCACGTCCCATCCCATCCCATCCCATTCCATCCCATTCCCATCCCATCCCATCCCATCCCATCCCATCCCATCCCATCCCATCCCATCCCATCCCATCCCATCCCATCCCATCCCATCCCATCCCATCCCATCCCATCCCATCCCATCCCATCCCATCCCATCCCGTCCTGTCCCATCTCTCTCCCTCTCTTCCTTACTGCCCTCTCTCCCATTCCCCTCCACCCTACACCTGCTCCATTGTTAGCACAAAACTACCATAAAGGCACGTAAACGTTTTGCTAGCTATAAATGTTAGCTATGTTACATGAGAGTGCGTTGGATAAAGGAAACGAATGTCAGCACTACTTCCATCCATCCATCCACCACTTCAGCTTTCCTTCCCCTTTCCATTCTCTCAACCATGATCGTTCTTCCTGCCTTGTACCTCCACTCCAACGCCTCCGCTTCCCTCCTCCACCCTGGTTGTGCACCAGGCAGGAACCTCATGATATGAGTCTCAGAAACGTCTCAGAAATTCCTCTGCCCTCATCATGCACCAGGGACCTCAACCACAATGATCTCTCGGGATCTTGAGGCGCCTCAATAAAAGTTCCCCCTTCCGCCCTCCTCCATCCACTCTCATCATGCACCAGGGACCTCAACCACAGGGACCTCAAGCACAATGATCTCTCGGGCTCCATGTTTTTTAAGCGACTCAAAAACACGCTTCCCTTTGCCACCCTTCCCCCCCTCCGCCCTCCTCGCCCCCCATTGTGCATCAGGGACGTCAACCACAATGATCTCTCGGGCTCCATTCCAGAGGAGATTGGCCACCTCAGGCAGCTATGGGAGCTGTGAGTGGTGATGAGTAGGCACGCACGTTTTGAGGCGCCTGAAAAATCTCAAGTATTGAGCCGCCTTAAAAAGCGCAAGTTTTGAGGCGCCTAAAAAAGGCAGCTATGAGAGTTGTGAGTGGTGATGGGGTAGACATGCAAGGTGCTGTGGGATGACCAGGTGTGACAGCCTGATATGTCCCCTCAGCGAGCAAATGAGTGGGCGAGTGAGAGGCCGAGAGCAGGGGGCGAGTCCGTGACGAGTGGGTGAAAGTGTGAGTGAGGGGTGAGTGGGTGAGGGGATGAAAGAGTGGGTGACTTGTGGGGATTGTGTTGTATGTGCGAGTGAGTGAGTGGAGGTATCCCTATGGGCTAACGTCTTGTCTTTCGTCCGATCCCATCGCATCCCATCCCATACCATCACATTCCATCCTATCCTATCGAATCCCATCGAGACCCTCAGATTTCTTTTTGTTTTTTTTTACACTGATTCAACATTTGTTTCTGTGCCAGGACTGATATTAAGCCCTTTTCCAGAAGAATGCATTGATTTCCCCTCCTACAATGCCATTTTAGGATTATTATCAGAGTAAATTCGCGTGTTGTCAGCCTGATTTGAATCCAATCTAGGATCCCATCCCATCCCATCCCATCCCATCCCATCCCATCCCATCCCATCCCATCCCATCCCATCCCATCCCATCCCATCCCATCCCATCCCATCCCATCCCATCCCATCCCATTCCATCCCATCCCATCCCATCCCATCCCATCCCATCCCATCCCATCCCATCCCATCCCATCCCATCCCATCCCATCCCATCCCATCCCATCCCATCCCATCCCATCCCATCCCATCCCATCCCATCCCATCCCATCCCATCCCATCCCATCTCATGCTATGCTATGCTATGACAGGCAGCTGGAATACAACAGCCTCCTTCCCCTGTTCTCCCTGTTCTCCCTGTTCTCGTGTTCTTCCATTCCCTCTCTTCCCCTCTTCGTTCCCTCGTCACCACTTCCCCTCTTCCCCTCCTCTTCTCTCCTCGTCACCACTTCCCCTCTTCCCCTCCTCTTCTCTCCTCGTCACCACTTCCCCTCTTCCCCTCCTCTTCTCTCCTTTCCTCCATGTCCATTCATCCACCCATCTTCAGGAAACTCAACGACAACCGTCTTGCGGGGACGATACCTGCTGCAATCACCATACTCACTAATCTCGCATACCTGTCAGTGTTACCTCCTCGGTCGTCACCAACACTCACGCGCTATTTGTCAATAATCAAGGATGTGGTTGAGGAATCGGAAGAACGTGATTGTATGCCTGCTGAGCCCACTCTAAAGACATATCTGCGGGGTCAACTCGTTTAAATTCTGCTGAAACAATCTGTTCTACGCACCTCATGCACTTACTTCAAACAACTGTCAGTGCTACCCATCTCCTCAGTGAAACGCCACCCAGTCGCTCTCCACTTCCTTCCCGTGTCTCCCATCGTTCGTGTTAAGCCATGTTAATATTCTTTCTCCGAAGCACGTCCACACCAAAGAAATGATGGGAGTATCACATAGCACTAACACACTCAGCTGCTAACACACTCAGCTGGTAACAGCACTAACACACTCAGCTGGTAACAGCACTAACACACTCAGCTGGTAACAGCACTAACACACTCAGCTGGTAACAGCACTAACACACTCAGCTGGTAACAGCACTAACACACTCAGCTGATCCCAGCACTAACACACTCAGCTGGTAACAGCACTAACACACTCAGCTGGTAACAGCACTAACACACTCAGCTGATCCCAGCACTAACACACTCAGCTGGTAACAGCACTAACACACTCAGCTGATCCCAGCACTAACACACTCAGCTGGTAACAGCACTAACACACTCAGCTGGTAACAGCACTAACACACTCAGCTGGTAACAGCACTAACACACTCAGCTGATCCCAGCACTAACACACTCAGCTGATCCCACACAGCACTGAAATTGGATTTCGCAAAGCTGATGCCACACAGCATGCACCGGAAGCGGTACCCCCGATTCAACACGCACATGCTACTCCTCTCGCATCACCTTTCCAATCACCCCCCTTCCCAGTCACGTTTTTTCCTGTCGACTCAAAAGCAGATTCCTCCTTCCCACTGCTTCAAGCCCCCCCTTCTTTTGCACCACAGGCACCTTGACAACAACCAGCTTACGGGAGAGCTGCCCTCCTTCCACCACATCACCCACCTCACATCGCTACACAGGCTGTCTGTTGCCTACAACTACCTCACAGCCACAGCAGACGCCTTCCCGTTCAACACCACCAGCCCAGACCCAGACGACCCCTCAGGAGGCCACAGCTCGTGCGTATTCACCCACAACTGCCTTGAGTGGGTCTACTGCGGCCACGGGCTGAACCAGAGGCGTGACAGTGAGTGCCGGGCGTTCTGTGGGGTGCAAGTGCAGCCGCTCAGAGAGCAGAGGCTGACCCCCCCGTGCAGCGGGCATGGCGTGTGCTCCTTGGTGCCGGACCCGTCTCACGCCATGTCTCCGTGTGATGAAGACGAGGAGTTCTGGCCACCCCACTGTGAACCTGTGGGGCAGTGCACCTGTGATGACGGGTACACGCCAGGGACTGCTGCTGGCACGTGCGTCTCTCACGATACCCTGCTGGTGCCTCAAGGTATGCTTGCGGATTGATGCCCTCACTAGCTGATGGTTATGTTCTGTTCCTTTTTTCGGCCCTTAGCTCGTCCTTGCTGCGTCTTGATTTTCAGTGCCTGCTTGCCAACATGCCTGCTTGCCAACATGCTCCACACGCCCCATAGCTTCCACTGGCCTGTGGAAGGGACCCTGTAGGCCATGGGGGAGTGGCCATGGGAGAGTGGCCATGGAAGAGTGGCCATGGGAGAGTGGCCATGGGAGAGTGGCCATGGGAGAGTGGCCATGGAAGAGTGGCCATGGGAGAGTGGCCATGGGAGAGTGGCCATGGGAGAGTGGCCATGGGGGAGTGGCCATGGGGGAGTGGCCGAGCGACGCCTCCTAGCCACTTCAGCCCATGGGCTCGCACTGGGCAGTGTGAATCCTGCTGGGTAGTGTGACTCGTGCTCCGCTTGCCACAATGAGTCGATTTTTATCCGTTAAAAAAACTGTGGAAACGAGTGCTGACGTGTCAGACCTCCTTCCCTCCACTCAAGCCACACCTGCGTCATGTGTGCTTGTGCTTCTGTGAGCCTCGGTGTGCTTGCTCTTCCTCCGCATCCGTTTCTTACCATCCCAAACGCCTTGAGTTCAGCCCACCCTGCCATATAGGCTTGTCGCGCTGTGACCTTGCTTTGTACTGTGTGTACCATGCTGTACCGTACTGTACCATGCTGTACCCTGCTGACAGGAACAATAATCCAAAGCCCTACTGGCCATCCTGACTACCAGGTAGACAGAATCAAGAATCCTCCTACCGGTAAGTGGCACCTTACACATACCTCTTGTTCCAGATAAGCACAGCAGTTGCCATTGGGGTTGTTCTTGTTTGTGCTGTGGGCCAATGCACCCGCCCACAACATTCAAGACCTCACTGCCCGTAAGACATCCTGGCTTCTATCAAGTGCATATCAACTCCAGTCCCACTTCCCCGATTTCCATCAGAACCGTTGTGAACCTTAATCACATCCCACTGCACTCCCATGTCATTATGCACCTGCGTCATGATAGTAGAGAGTTTTTGAGACTTCTCAAAAACTCTCTATTATCACGAGAACCATAATCATACATCCCACTACACTCCCACGTCATAATGCTCCTCCTGCTTTGCCTGCATCCGCTCCTCCCAGCCTCCCGCCCTCTCCTCATCCATCCTGCAGGCACCAACTTACCCTTTGAGCCGCCAGGCACTACCATCGTGGGGGTGATTCTGTATGATCTCCAGGCGCCTAAAAACCTGCTGCTGCTCTTGCTCTTTCTTCCACCGCTGTTGCTGGCCTTCTCACTGCCACATCTTCTGAGGCGCCTCAGGAATCGACCCCCCACGCGCTACTTCTTTTCGAAGAGAGCCCTCGCTGCCCTGCAAGCTTCCATGGATGTGGAGATCACTTGCTAGTGCAGGACTGCCATGCAGGAACACTTTGTACACTTGCATGGGACCATGTGCCATACGGGAATGTTTTTGTGGCAAGATGCGCCTTTAGATAATTCATTGGATCTTATTCTTTTTAAGTGTATGCCTGCTTGGTTATTTTTTCATTTGCAGTTGCATTCCATGAGTAGCATATGGTTTCCCTAGTAGCGCTCGATTTTGCTTCACTATATCGAACCAATAACGTGGTCTTTGTTGTTGGGTGAAATGCATTACTAGTGTAATACATACGTGCACACTCATAACTGTGTAGGAAGAGGACCTATTTATCACCTAGCTTCACTACACAAATCCTCTCATGGTGCTATAGGGAGGACGGAAATAGTCCTCAGGTTCCAAATCGCCCTCTTCCTCCGACCCAAAACATCTCTTGTCTATAGGCCACCCTACGCGTGCTGTTTCATTGGCACAACGTTCCAGACACTCACACTCCAATCGCCTGTATGTCACGCAGGTTGGACGTGCTTCCTCTCGTCGGCGGCCAGCAGCTGCCCCACAAGCTTCCCCCTTGTTTTCTTTCATCACAAGCTGATTGACCCCGGGCTTCACGTACACAGTGGCTCATTGCCTCCAGCAGTTTGCTAGCTGTGGCCAGCTTCCCAAGCATCCGCGCCAAGCGTGTGGAGCTACCTTGAAGGGCAGCCCGAGCTTGCCCTTGAACACCACGGGTGCAGAGCAGGCCCTACGATATCAGGAATTTTCCCCTGAAATTCCTGATTTCCAGGGTTTTTTTTTTACCTACACTGATTTTCCAGTGTTCAGCTTTTTGTGGGGCTGATTTTTCAGCCTTCACCTAGCACATGACTCTGAACTTTCAGCAATGTTTTTCTAGTGACATTGATTCCACTACGTTGTAACGAATCCGACCCTGAAAGCGATTCCTACACGGTTCGTGTGTAGTTGCCCGGCTGTACAGGGAATATCAGATTCCCACGGTGTCAGCAGGGCGTGGCGGTGAGTAGCAGACAAATTTGCCTCGTAGAGGGATGCGTTGTTGGCGCGCGTGGTGCGATGATTGGCCACTTTGACAGCATTTCCTGATTTGGCCAATTACAGGGTTGCAGCACAGCGATGCTGGCAGGCAGCGCAACGAGGGATTCAGGCCCATGTGAAGCACCTGTGGTCCTCTGGCCCGTTTTGTCTAAGTCGTGCTGGCAAGCACGGATGCATCCACGCCGCCCAGCCGTGCTGCCAGCCATCCAGTCTCCCACCCCAGTAAGCTCCATGCTTTCCTTCCATCTAGCAAGGGTAAGGTTTCATCGCGTTGCTGCCTGGTGTACCAAGAGGCAGTCAGCCGTGTGTCCTCTCTTCCTGGCAAACCTCCATCGTTCAGCTAGCTAGGGAGTCCCGTTAGATGTTGCTTGTTCACAGCGCAATCAATGGCGGACCACCCGGACGCCATTGAACGACCTGATGACCCCGGCGATGAACCCGCTCGTCGTTTGCCAATTGATCTGTCCGCGGCCGTTACCGGGCTGGATATGCTATTCTCCAACTTAGCGCCAGTAGATCACCATGGAAAGGCACCTGCAGTCGCGCCGACCGTCGATGTTCCATTTGAACCCATCGACGAGCCTCTGTGTCCCTCCCCTACTGCGCCCGTGTTGGAGCAAGACAGCTCCAACCCTTCAGGTGAAGAAATCGCGGCGGTGTCAGTGGCTAAGAAGTCCGCCAGGTACACGCAGTCAACGCTGCCGTGGCCCAAGAAGGGAGGTCCCGCAGGTGCAATACCGGCTTCGCCAGCCGACCAACTGTCGACCTTCGCGACCGCAGGCACGCAGGCGTCGCCCTCAACACCTGGGCCTTCTAAACCGGCAGGGCCAGACGCAACCTACGCGGAGGCTCTGTATAAGTACAAAAGCGAGTGGCTCGAGCGGTTTTCTTGGCTTATTCTGCTAAAAAAAACTGACGGTTTCCCCGCTTTCAAGTGCAGCATCTGTACGGTGCACGCAGGCTACGCTGGACCGTGTGGGAGAGGCGGAAAGGGCGCCACAGAGGTTCAGACGCATGCGTTCAAACGGCATGCGGCAACTACCAAGCACAAGGAGGCGTTGAAACACCAGCAGAAGCTTCTTGACGACGCCGCTACGCAGCCACGGATCAACGGCGACAATCTCGCTCGCGACACGGAGAAGGAGCGGGTCGTCAAGCTCCTCGACTCCCTGCTCTTCGTGACCAAGCAAGATGCACCCATAGAGTTATGGGTGAATCTTGTGCGCTACCTCGCGCGACTCAAGTCCAGCAAAAGGCTACGGAACCTATTATACTACGTGAGTGTTGAATTAATCTAACTGCAACCGTGTTTGTGAAAATCAACCGAATTATCTGACGTTGTGTTGTTTGACATGCGCTGCACCTACGGCTTCGGGCAGGTGACACAGTCGATGGCCACATGGTTGCACACAACGCAACTGCAGCATATCCTCAGCAGCCCATACATTGGCGTCACGTGCGACGAAAGCACGGATAGGTGTCGGGGAAAGCATATGATTGTTTTCGCGACATTCATCCGTGAAAATCGTCCCGTGACTGAGTTCCTTGCCCTGCTGACCGTGGAGAAGGGCGATGCAGCCTCTCTCCTCTCAGTGCTCTTGTCCCACCTGCAGGCCCTAGGCATTGAACTGGCGAGGATATCCGGCATAAGCACTGACGGAGCGAGTGTGATGATGGGGAAACACAACGGCCTTGTCGCTCGACTTCGCCTCCGCATCCCGCATCTTGTTTCGAGCCACTGCATCGTCCACAGGTCAGTTTTCATCTTCTGTTTACTGCTTCCATACAGTCCCTGCTGCATCCCCTGCTAACCCCTCCTTGAGCCGGTTTTAATGCTGGTGTGCATGCAGGGAGGCCCTCGCAGCAAAGGACGCCGCTGAACAACTCCCCGAGTTCGGCATGGTGGACTCCCTGCTCCGCCAAGTGGCAGAGCATTTGGGGCGTTCTGGCCCGTGGCATCAACGCTTCATTGGCCTGCAGGAGGTGTTCACGAAAACAAACCTGGAGCTACAAGGGATCCACGACGTCCGCTGGCTCTCCCGCGGTGACGCCATTCTGCGCGCGGTAGAGGTCTTCCCCGCGCTGATCGTGATGCTGTATGAGTGGGACAGCACCCTCTACGAGCTCGCCATGAGCTACAGGTTTCACTTTCTGCTATACTTCCTTGCAGACGTCGTCGAGTAGCTCAATGTGCTGAACAGGGCATTCTAGCAGCGTGAGGTGAGCTTGGTTACTATCGTTGCTGGATTGTGTGCCTTGTTTCGGTTTGTGAGTCATTGTTTGATGTACTGCTTAAGCAGAATCTGCTTTGCACTGATTTGGCCTTCTCTCCATCCTCTGTTCGCCCTGTTGACCCCTAACAGCTGGACATTGCAAGTGTCCACGGGCAGATCCGCCGGTCGATTTCATTCCTAGAGTCCCGCTACGTTGACTGTGGTGACGACTTTGGAGGCAGGGTGAGCGCGCGCCTCTCCCCGTTCATCAAGAAGCACGGGCCTGAGGGGGGCAATCCCAAGGTGAAGGTGCAGGGAGTCGACTCGGACGGGTGGCCCACGACACACACCTTCGAGCTGCACGAGAAGCCGAGCGAAGTCTACCCGACCCTCGGCTCCCACGACGCCTGCGTCGATCTCTGCACCACCTTCGCCGAGACACTCGTGCAAAACCTCAGCACACGGTTCCAGGACCTGGACTCCCTGGTGGGAGTGCGGCTGTTCATGCCTGACGAGTGGGAGCTGGGGAGAGCGGAGTGCCACAGGCAGTGTCTCGAGTGGCTCGAGTCTCTCGTGAGGCTGTTCAGGGCACAGGACACGGACTACATCATTCCAGGTATTCCCACTCTCGCACTGTTGCTGTCCGTCTTATTGTGTCATTGCATTTCATCAACGTATGGTGTACGCACTTGCCAGCCTTTCAAAAACCCCCTCTCTCTCCCTTCCGCATTATGTGGCAGGGGTCGACAAGCGGCGTGCGATCAAGGAGCTGCGGGCCTTCTGCCCCATCCTCGCAGGTGCCCCGAAGAACGAGCGGAGCTTCCACGCAGGCCTAACAGCAATGCTGAAGACAAGCGACTGGGCGACTGGCTACCCCAATCTGGTGCGTCTCTGGGTGGCTGTCGTCGTGCTGCCGCTGAGCACAGTGGAGTGTGAGCGCGGCTTCTCACGCCAAAACGTTATCAAATCGTGGCAGCGGGGGAGCTTGAAGGACGCCCGCCTCGAAGACCTCGTCACCATGTCTCTACTCGAGTACGAGCCCAACTACGATGAGGTGGTGCAGATCTGGCGCAGCTACAAGAAGCGCCGCCCATTCGGCAATGTGGCGGCACCACCCGAAAGAGAGGGAGAGGGCAGGGATAGCACGGGAAAGGAGGCCCTAGAGGAGGAAGAGTGGGCAGAACGACAGGCTAAGGGAAGAGAAGATGATGATGACAAGCAGGCCTCATCAGATGATGATTACTGAACTCACCCAGACCCAGAGTCATGCTGGATGCAATGCATGGCTAGCTAGCAAGCAAGATATGCTTTGGTTTACAATAGATAGATTGAAGGATGTTTGCGACCTTCATAGAGTTTTAAGTTAAAAAATTCAGCTTCACTACTATCAGCCTTTTTCTATAGGTGACACTGATGCATCAGACTTTTTTTTGAAGTAACACTGAACTTTCAGGCTTTTTTCCTAGGCGACCTTATCGATCAGGGTCTAGGGCCAGAGGGACCCTGATACCCTTACGTGCCTCAAAGTGAATCTGAGGGCCTGGTGCAGAGATCCAGCTCGGTCCCCGCTGGCCGCTGAAGGGGCTGTGCACAGGGGCCTTGTTATCAAACCAATTTGGTCTGATAGTCTGACTTTCAGACTTAATTTCCTTTGTTCATCTTACTTGTAAGATTTTATTTTTATGTCCGTCCGATCACTAAGACAAATGTTTTTACTTCAGATGAAATTTCAGACCAAATGATATTATTCATATGAGTTTCCGGATAACGAGTACGATTCCGTCTGAAACTGACATTTCGGGCCACTAGGCCATAGGGCCACTAGGTACGGTACCTGCCAGCCTGTATAGATGCATGCGTAATAAATGTGTATGTCTCGTAGCTTCCGCGCTGGCGAAAACCAACACCGCTGGCAGCAGTGATGAATCGGATGCTGCCAGCATTTTGTCGCTGCGTGGGTGTCGGCGCCGCTGCCACCTATATCAAGACACTGACACTGTAAGCTTTTGCAGCATAGTCCTTTCCTTGAACAAAACGCCAGGAAAGGCGTTTCGTGTATGCATCACGCATGCACGTAACTGTGGTTCCCGGCCCCCAACCCCCCCATGCATCACTCTGCCGCGCTACGAGATGAGAGTTTGAGGGACCACGCCGGGGGCACTCCCTCCATCTTGCTCATAATTTTCTTGCAGTACACTCAGTTGGTCTTGCAGTGCAACTAATCACCCGCAACATACCTCCCGATGGCCATTTCTCCCGAGGAAGACCCCCCTGGAGTCTCAGCATTAGATATCCTCACTCGGGGCAAGCAGATCCCCGACGTTGCACCACCCCCCGTTGCCTCATCCTCCGCGCAGGTTCCACCGCCAGTCAACGCCTCGCCCAAAGCTGTGCCTTCCTCACATGGCATGCCCTCAACATCTAATGCTGCCACACCCATTTCGCCGTGTTGTGATTCATCTGGCCGTGAATCCCACCAACCTGCTGTTTTGATTGCAACAACCGAGACTCTACGAGCTAACCCCGTGCTGCCTGACAGGGCTTCACTAAAAGCTAAATACAAGCAACGGAGGCTTGAATTTGCACGTCCCGCAGGTCCTATGCTGCCCGCGCCATCAAAGACGATCCCACCCGTGACTCATCACTCCGCCGATGACGGTGACGAAGACGAGGACAAGGACAAGGGTCGGCGTCAGCTGTCTGTGGAAGTTTTGCAGCTCAAATGTAAGGAGCAGTGGCAGCGCTACTTCCTGTGGCTCTTGATCAGTGAGTCCAAGGACAGGCGACCTTGCATGCGCTGCAACGTCTGTATGGTGTTCGGCGACCCGCACTACAAGTACGGCCGCTACGGTGAAGGCGGCCTCGACATTCAGGAGCAGACGATGCGCAAGCATAGCATCAAGCACATGGCGGCGGTGCTGCACGCGACGGCCAGAAGAAAGGCAAGAAGTCCATCATCGACTTCGACAAGGGGGGACGACAATGGCAACCGCATTGCTCGATTGATGGCAATCGCTTTGTTCATTTGCAAATCTTGTGCTTTTCGTGGCTCTTGTTCAATTCATGGCTGAGCAGGGCACTACTGACATGCCGTTGAAGGAAAACGGCACGTACTACAGCGAGTGAGAAATGTCTTTGTATCCCGCATGTCTTTGTATTTCCGCTCCACATTGCTCATGGCTTCATTATTTGTTTATGCGTTACAGGTACGGTTTTGCTCAGCTTGTGGAAACGATGGTGTCATACCTGTGTCAGAAATAAGAAGTGATGAACTAGGAAGTTGTAGGAGTACAAGTAGCAAACCCTAGTGAAATGTACCCCCTAAAGGCTAACCCAATGTAGCCTACACAACAGAAACATATATAATGTTTGACACACCCCCATAGGCTAAGTGGGGGAGAACAAGGGGTCACAGGACCAGTCAAGAAAACCAAAGCAAGCTCAGGGTGGATCACAACGTCACCACACACTCTGAGCACAAGCAAATGACCACAAGGCCAGTTCACATGCAGAGGCATATATGTAGCACAAACATCACAGTGATCTATGTCTAGCAAGTATGCAGGTATAGATATATAGATCACAGTACAGGCAAAGTCTACAACAAGTGAGGAAAAGTGGGCACAAGCCCTAGCAAAGTGCAGAAACGCTGATGATCACCAGACTGAAGTGCCTTGGTGAATATATCAGCAGTGTTGGCCTGAGAGGCCACAAAACGCAGACGAAGCTGACCACGCTGCTATAACTCTCGAGCCAGAAAGTAACGTAGAGCGATGTGCTTCGTCCTGTGCTCCAGTCTGTGCTCCTCACACAAGGCAATGGCAGCCTTGTTGTCGACGTACAGCACTGGATGAGAACTAGGCCGCTTTCCCAGGTCGGTCAGCAGGTAGGTGAGCTAGCGTAACTCCTGTGCAGCCATGGCCGTGGCGTAGATCTCAGCCTCACAACTGGAGCTGAGAACTGAAGACGAACAAGTAGAACGCCAAGAAACTGAGCCAGAGCCAAGGCTGAAGGTGTAACCCTGTGGCGACTGCTGAGTAGCCTGGTCGTCAACCCAAGAAGCGTCTGAGTGTCCAGTGAGAACGACTGGGCTCCCTCCTCCAAGCACGAGCCCCATGCCCGATGTACTGCACAAGTAGCGCAATACCCTCTTTGCAGCATCCCAGTGCACCTTTCGGTGCCTGCCAGGAGCCACATAGCGGGCCAGAAGGCCAAGAGGGTATGCTAGGTCAGGACGAGTGCAAGTCATCAGGTACATGAGGCAACCAACTAGCTCTGGGTAAGGACCACTCGGCTCTACGGACTCATCCGAAGGTAGAGCTGAGAGTGAGTGATCTATAGCCCGAGGAGTGGCCTGTGCTGAGGACCAGTTGAAGCCGAAGCGCTGAAGGACCTCCTGCACCATGTATGACATGGTGAGCCCCACGCCTTATGTCATCGCTAGGTACTTCGCCACCCTCATAGCAGTTGTCTAATGAACAGGATGGTGTCTCCCTGGCGCAACAAAGCGAGCAAGGATGCTGAGAGGGAAGGCGAGGTCCGGGCGATTACAAGTCATCAGGTACATGAAGCAACCCACAAGTTCCGTGTAAGGACCACTGGCTCAAATGGCTTGTCGGAAAAAGGGACCAGTGAGTCTGTGGTCAACGGCAAGAGGTGTGCGCTGTACGGTGGAGCGCTGAAGCTCAAACCGCTGAAGGACCTGTTGCACCATGTGTAACTGTGAGAGTGTAATGGTGCGAGCGGCTTAAACCCTTGTGACCTGCAGGCCTAGGTAGTGGCGCAGCTCACCAAGGTCAGTGCACGTGTGTCTCTTCTGCAGTTCGAACTTCACGTCAGCCAAAGCAACCCTGTCAGCAGTGGCAAAGACTTGGTCGTCAATGTAGACCAGTACAAAGAACGGTGTAGAGCCACGACGAATGAACAGCGACGGGTCGGTAGAAGACGGCTGGAAATCGAGGTCAGACAGGGTAGAGCGAAGGGTGTTGTGCCACTCACGAGGTGCCTGACGGAGACAGTAGACCGGTCGCCTCAGCCTCCACTGGTTCCCAGGAGGGAAAGTGAATATGAAGGTAGAGAGACGAGGCGACCATACCTCCTCGTGTAGGCTACCCTGAAGGAAGGCAGTGGAGAAGTCGAGAGAGTGTAACTCGTAGTCTCTATGTCCTACTACGTGCAGTAACACTCGAAGAGTGGTCATCTTCGGGGTAGGCACGAAGATCTGAAAGAAGTCAACTCCCTCGCGCTGGTTGAAACCTCTAGCCACATAGTGCGCCTTGAAGACCGGAGGAGATCCCGGTGGCCGCTTCACCCTGCAGATCCACATGCCATCGACTATGTTCGCCCTAGGGGGGGGAACCTTGTCGATGTAGGTGCCTGTGGATCTGTAGGAGGCCATCTCTGAGTCCATGGCAGCTCTCGACTTAGAGGCCCAAGGCCCTGACACTGCCTCAGCGTAAGTGCGAGGAGTCGGTATGTCAAGGGCGTCGGGGTCTCCCTCAGGGACGAACAGCATGGCACAAAGATGAGGGGAAGCGGCTGCCAGGAACTCCAGCTCAAACTGCCTGTCCTCTAGGGCGTCACAACCAAGGACAGGCTCACCCTTGACGGCCAGAGGACTGGTAGGAGGAGCAGCCACTACACGAGTGGCATAGTCAAGGCCCTAGTAGTGGCGAACTCAGTGACAGCGGCAGTAAGGGCGGAGGCAGAGGACAGAGAGGCACGAGGGTGTGTAACAAGAGAGGTGAGAACACGCGAGAGAACAGGATGGTACGTGCGGTAGTAGTCAGTGACAGGAGTAGAGAGGGAAGTAGTGAGGGCCGACTTAGGAGGAGAAGGAAGCACAGGAGAAGAAAGCACAGACGGAGACGAACGAGGCGGAAACGGAATGATGGTGGACTATTGTGGGTTGGGGTACATAAACCTATCCCTACTGTTGTACCCCATATGACACGCATCACTAAAGGCTACAACATTTGACAATGAAGTTCGGAGACTCATGGCGCAGCACAAATTTGATTTTCGAGTTTTAGGTATGCACTTTGATATACTGGCATCTTCGTTTGTGTGAGGGGTCCTCTTCGTAAGAGATTGATATGAAACTTTACCTCATTATCATGGGGGGTTGAATAGTGTTCTGGAGAAAAACAAAATGTAAGCACATAATTTCAGCAAATTGTTTAGCGTATTCCGATCGATAGTATTAAATACTTTCTGAAGTTTAAGAAGCAATGATTCTGATAACTTTCATACTTGTTCTCTTCCAGTTTGAGCTTACCATACTGGATGCAATGCAGCTTCAATTTCTGTGGACTGAACACTTGGTTTGGTGCAATTTCAATATCACAACTGCTGGCTATCAATCCATGTCATAACCCATCTGATACAGTACCTTCAACTCACTAACTTTGGCCAGCTACCAGCACAAACTCCACTCCTCCCCAACTGTGCGACTCCACCCGAATCCAATCCTCCTCTTTCCCCCCTGCTCCCATGCCTGCTGCGCCACCCACTGCGGAATCTCTTTCCTTAACCATGTCTGACGCGGCATCTGACGTGGCAGCTGACGTGGCACATGGTGCTGCAGGGAAAAGCAGGGAGTGACCCTCGTTTTGAAACACGGCCTCTCCTCTCGGACCAAACATCGCCACGCCCTGTGTTTAGGAATGGGGTGGTGGTGGGAATGAGGTGGTGGTGGTGGGAGTTAGGTGGTGGTGGGAGTTAGGTGTTGGTGGGGCAGACAGCGGAGGAGTCGAGTGGAGATTATTCATAACAGACAGATAGGCACATGGCACGGACAGATACACTCGAGTTACTCTACAAAAAGTTTCAAAAGTGGCCATCCATTCTGAAACACGGCCTCTCCTCACGGGTCAAACAGAGTCACGACCTTTGAGTGGGAAACAAGGGGTTGGTGGGAATGAGTGGGTGGGGCAGCAGACGGTCAGCAGGACAGCTGGCATTGCAATGAATGCAGGGGGGGGGTTGTAGGTAGCGGTAAGGTCAAGTGGGTTGTAGGTAGCGGTAAGGTCAAGTGTGTTGTAGGTAGCGGTAAGGTCAAGTGTGTTGTAGGTAGCGGTAAGGTCAAGTGTGTTGTAGGTAGCGGTAAGGTCAAGTGTGTTGTAGGTAGCGGTAAGGTCAAGTGTGTTGTAGGTAGCGGTAAGGTCAAGTGTGTTGTAGGTAGCGGTAAGGTCAAGTGTGTTGTAGGTAGCGGTAAGGTCAAGTGTGTTTTGAGTGTTTCAAGTGAGTCGACTCAAAACACACCAAGCAGTGCGCGGGTAGTGCAGATGCCTGGGCGGGGCAGCAGGCAGGCAGCAGGACAGTTGGCATTGAGATTGACGCAGGGAGGTTGTGGGAAGTGGGGATGGGATGGCAGTAAGTAAGTTCACGCAGCAGAAAAGAAGCAAGTATGGGGACGTGAGCAGGATTGGCAAAAGGCAGATCAAGAATCAGTTATTTCATTGCTGACAGAGATAAAAACGACAAAGAGAAGCGGCACGAGCCACACACAGACAGAGACATGACACAAAAACGGATAAGAGCACAGAAAAGCAGGCGCAACAGGGAGTTTTTTAGAATTCTCAAAAACATGAATACTTCTGAATCTGGCATGTATGATCCAGTCCGGGCTGCCCAAAAAAAATCTCAATCCCAAAGATACTATTCAGAGCACCCCAATATCCTCTCAATCTCAACCATACAAGACACCCCACCTCGAGCACGTATATGAGGGCGGACTGAGTGCGGGCCAATGGGATGTTGACAGCTGTCCCTGGCCGCATGTACACGTGCAGCATGAGCTGGGGGATGGTGGGGGTGGGGGGGGAAGGCGGGGAGGGGGAGGGGGAGGGGAGGGGGTAAGGCGGGGAGGAGGATTGGAGGGATTAGTAAGGGGTAAGGGGGACCAATGGGATGTTGACAGCTGTCCCTGGCCGCATGTGCACAAGCAGCATGAACTGGAGGGTGGGGGGGAGGGAAGGGGGGAGGGAGGGAGTAAGGCAGGGAGGAACACTGGGTGGAACGGGAGGGAGTAAGCGGAGAGGGTAGAGACGGGTGGGGAAAGGGAAGGAGAAACAGGGCGAAGGAGATAAGGGGACTGAGGTTGTGAAAGGAGAACGGTTAGGAGTTGAGGGGGTTGGAAAGGGATTGAGGAAGGTTGGGATGGCGGGGACGTTCGATTGAAGGGCAAGAGTTCGGTGAGCGAGAGAGTGCAGATGACACGAAGAGAGAGTGCAAATGACACGAAGGAAAAGAGGGAGAGAGAGTGCAAATGACACGAAGGAAAAGAGGGAGAGAGAGTACAAATGACACGAAGGAAAAGAGGGAGAGAGGGTGCAAATGACACGAAGGAAAAGAGGGAGAGAGAGTGCAAATGGCACGAAGGAAAAGAGGGAGAAAGAGTGCAAATGACACGAAGGAAAAGAGGGAGAGAGGGTGCAAATGACACGAAGGAAAAGAGGGAGAGAGAGTGCAAATGACACGAAGGAAAAGAGGGAGAAAGAGTGCAAATGACACGAAGGAAAAGAGGGAGAGAGGGTGCAAATGACACGAAGGAAAAGAGGGAGAGAGAGTGCAAATGACACGAAGGAAAAGAGGGAGAGAGAGTGCAAATGACAGGAAGGAAAAGAGGGAGAGAGAGTGCAGATGACAGGAAGGAAAAGAAGGAGAGAAAGTGTCAGAGAGAGGAAGTTGTAAGCGAGGGGCGGAGTGATGTGTGGGAGTGAGGGACGATAGTGACAGTGGGGATTAAAGAAATAAGGACTCGCGGAATGACATAAGGACTCCGCGAGTGGCAATGAGAAGGACACAATAAAGTGAAACGGAGAAACAAAGTGTGAGAGAGAGCGAGTGAGAAAGCGAGAGCAAGACTGACAAAGTGTGTGAGGGGTGGAGGAGTGCAAACGTCCCTGAACCGCCCAGCCACCACCCGAACCTGCGCTGCCCCCGACCCTTGCGCCTCCCTCTCTGCCCCCGAGTTCCCCCCTTCCTCCCCTCCGCCTCGCCCCTCCCCCCTTTCCCCCTGACCAGGGGGAGCAGGGGCGGCGGGGAGGAGCACGCAGGGCGCAAGAGCGGCGGAGCGGAGGTGAGAGAGGAAAAGATGGGGGGGAGGGGGAGGGAGAGGGGCGGAAGAGGCGGAAGTAGGGGGCGAGGGGGAAGAGGGGGCGGAAGAGGAGGCGGGAAGTGACATTTCACCATTCCCCCCCCCGATTTTAATGTCTGAGGCCCAGAAAACTTCGATTCCGCGCCCCTGCGCTTGCCCTCCCCCTCCCGCGTTCCACTCCCCTTCTCTCCCCCAGTCGATCTCCCCCCAATCTTCCGCCTCTTCCCCCCACTCCTCCTCGTCATCCGCCTTTCCCGCTTCCGCCAGCATGAACACTAGGGACTCAAGCGCGCGTCCGGGGGGAGCGGGGGGGAAGCGCGAGCGAGGGGAGGGAGAAAAACTCGTCAACCGCAATAATGGGGGAAAGGGGGGAGGTTGCGCTGATTGCTTTCCCGCTTTCCGCCTCTCCGCCTTTTCCGCTCCCGCCTCCCCCACTCCACCCGCCTCTGCTTCTCCGCAGGGCCAAATGCGCGCGCGGTATCCCCTTCGGCGGAAACTTTACTCGCGGTGATTGTTTCCATTGCGCGTCTGCTCACTCCCCCGCTTCTCCGCGCAGTCCGCGCAGTCTCCGCTGCTGCAACCGCCCCCCCTCCCCCTTCCCCTCCGCCGCACAACTGGTGCGCAACCTCTGGCGCGGAGGTTCGACATGTTGCAAGCTCTGATGCAGAGTATTTTGGAATTTCCGCGCGCCGTTCTCACATTTCCCCGTGCCTCGTAGACGCACTCGGTGTGCCTTGAAGGCGTCTAGGTTCAACGCATTTAAATGTACTCGAATTCCTAGAGTACGAGCACCATCAGCGCCACACCTCACCGCGCCGCAACCGAAACGATTTGACCATTGTCTTTGGCGGCAAGCGCTGCAGTCGAACTGCGAGAATTGCCGAGCCTGCAATGCTAACGAGGCACCCGAGGCTAAGGGCGACACGATGCTGATAATAGTCCTCGGAGGGCCGAGAAGACGAGCGGAAGCCATAGAGCCGAGGTAGTATTGAATTCGTCGAGAATTCAAGAATTCATTCATAGCAAACTAGGCTTGCGGGTGGTAGTGGGAAGACCTCGCCCGAATCCCTCCGCGGAAACCCGTTCGCCCCTGCGGGTTTTCCTCGGAGGGATTTTCGTTTTCCCGCAGTCGCCTAGCGGGGTACGCGAGGGGCGGGAGCCACCCTCCCCCTCCCGCCCGAAAACGGGCACCCCCAGCTGGCGCCAGCTGCCGATGACGCCAGCTGCCCGCGCCCTCGAGCTGGCAGTGGTCCCCCTCCCAACCGAGCCCAACCCCTTGCTCGGTTCGTGGACGGGTTCCGTCCGGTAACCCACCCATCCCTCGCCGAGCGACGCATCGCCGACGGAACCAGTCTTGCGAAATTTTGCCGGCTAGACGAAATCGACGCCCATCTGCGCCGCGCTCCACCGCTCTCGCCCTAGACGGGCCCGTTTCGTTCAAGCCAGCTCGATCTTGGTGACGTGTCGAAGGCCCCCTCCCGAACCTTGGAATGGGCCTTTCAGCTGCATGCAAGGCGGCCCACCCCATGCTACCAACAACCAGGTTTCACGTCGAGGCCAATAGGGCCCCGCCGGCCTTCCGCGAAGAGCTCCTCCCTCCTCCTCCCGCGTCTCGGAACGCGCCCTGCCTCCTCGCCCTTGAACCCCCCTGGTCCGTCGCGGTGGGAGGGATGGCAAACAGCTAATACCCTGCGTCCGGTCTCATTTTGTTGCTGTTTCCGATTTTTACTTCCCTACTTCCTAGTCCCTGCTAGTTCCCAACTCCCCTGCGCGCCCGCCCTCTCCACTGCTAGGCCTGACATGGCTACGGGCCCCGCCTCTGTACCCGTCATGAACGAGGCGACGGTTCGACGCGGCCTCATCCTTAGTGCAGGCGGGGTCGAGGTGGAGTTGTACGAGGACCAGCTGAATGCGATTAGAGAGGCGCCGAAAGGGGAGCTCGACGAGAGCATGATGGTCGCGGGCGTCGTGTACGTGTCCTGTCGAACATTTTCGGTTTGCCATGTTTCGGTTTACCTATCGCTGACGTTGCCTTAGCTTTCCGTGCAGCCTGTTCTGTCATGAGCTGCTGTCCGTCGAGCAGCTCCCCAAGGTGTCGATCGTGACTCCGGCGCGTGCGCGTGAAGAGATGGCCCGTCCCACCCCGGTCGCTTTTGCGAACAACCACCTCGACGGCCTCCTCGGCAAGCAAGTGGTTTTCGTTCTGCTGCGGACACCGTGAGTTCGACACTCTCCCGTCGCCTTGCGTGCTCCGTCTTTAGCCCTGAACCCGTTCTCACGTGCATTGGCTCTGCATGCAGACTGAGTGTGCCTCCGTTCTCCCACTCGAGCCTGTTTGTGGTATCGCGCCCCGACGATCTGCTGGCTCCGAGGCACCGTGGCAGTCGAACTCGAATGATGCACTTCGATTCGAAAGACAAGTTTCCCGATATGAACCACCAATCTTCTCTGGCGCAAGAAGTTTTCGTGTGAGTGACAGCTTTGCCACCCTGCTCTCGAGCTGTTGTTCTCGAAAATCTTACTCTTCTGTCCGCTGCGTCGCAGGGGGATGAAGAAGCAGCTTCGCGCCAAGTACGCGATGACCCACCAGGCTCTGACCGAGGACGACCAAGAAGTGTTGAACGTGATGGACCTTCGACTGGAGTTGAACGAGGATTTCGACCATCTGGTAAGCTCTCCTTAGACCACCAGCGTTTTGTCGAGCATGTGTTTTGTCGCTTACGTATGTTTTGTACCCGTCGCAGACGACGACGGCCTTGTCGAGCCCCTATCAAAACGGCGCGGCAGCTCGTGTCGTGCATGGGGTGCGCCGGATTCTGTCGAAATGGGATGACTTCATCCTACAGCCTCGAAAGGGCGAACTCGTGCATCTAGGGAGAACGAACCCTGGCCCGGGTGTGCTTCCGTTGTTCATGGTCAAGCTGTTTTCGAGAAAGATCGACCAGCTGGCTGAGGGAGCAGGTGTGGGAGGGGGTGCCGACCACGAGGGAGGAGGCGAGAAGACGGGACGTGTCGTGATTGAGTACAGCGTCGAGGAGGAGGAGGAGGAGATCGAGGAGGATACATCGAGGCAGGCTCAGCATGGGGCGAGCGGCCCGGGCGGCGATGCGAACCAGGACGAGGACTCGAGCTCGGGATCGAGCTCCGGCTCGAGCTCGAGCGATGAGTCAGTCGAGGACGACGGCGAGGGCGCCGGACATAGAACGGAGCGTACGGGGGAGCACGGAGTGGCGCTCGGGGAGCGGGTGGACTGAGCGAGTAGAGCTTATCGAGTAGCAGGCGATAGGGGAAACTAAGGCTGTCGAGGAGCAGGAGGGCGGAGCGGCTGCGCAGGAGGGTGGGGTCGGAGGGCAGCAGCAGGTGGTGGGCGAGGCGGCTGCGCAGGAGGGCGGGGCAGGAGGGCAGTGTCAAACATTATATATGTTGTGTTAGTTTAGGCTACAGTGGGTTAGCCTATAGGGGGTACACAATTCTAGGGTTAGGTACTTGTACTCATTTCACTGCTAGTTCATTCATTCCTGTTCAGTGATTCCAACATGGTATAGAGCAGGTCCTTCCTAGGACCGAAATTTTCTAAGGGCCCACCACTACGTAACTACCTACCTACCTGTGCCCTAGGGCGCCTCGGCGTGTCACGCCCCTAGAGACCCCTCTTGACGGCCCCGCGCTAGCCCCGGTCAGGCCCCGTTGGCCCCATGCCCGCTCTCCCTAGCGGCCCCGTTCAGGCCCCGTCGGCCCCTTTAAGGCCCCATTCAGGCCCCGCGCTAGCCCCGTTCAAGCCCCGTCGGCCCCGTTTCAGGCCCCGTCGGCCCCGCGCTAGCCCCTCTCAGGCCCCGTCGGCCCGCGCTAGCCCCGTTTCAGGCCCTGCCGGCCCCGTTTCAGGCCCCGTCGGCCCCGCGCTAGCCCCTCTCAGGCCCCGTTGGCCCGCGCTAGCCCCGTTTCAGGCCCCGTTGGCCCCGTTTCAGGCCCCGTCGGCCCCGCGCTAGCCCCTCTCAGGCCCCGTCGGCCCGCGCTAGCCCCGTTTCAGGCCCCGTCGGCCCCGCGCTAGCCCCTCTCAGGCCCCGTCGGCCCCACGCTAGCCCCATTCAGGCCCCGATCGGGCCCGCGCTAGCCCCGTGGGCCCCGTTTCAGGCCCCATCGGCCCCGCGCTAGCCCCGTTCAGGCCCCGTCGGCCCCTTGCTAGCCCCGTCAAGGCCCCGTTTGGCCCCGCGCTAGCCCCGCTCAGGCCCCGATCGGCCCTGCGCTCGCCCCTCTAGGGCCCCAACCGGCCCCGTGCCGACCTCGCCGACCCGTGCCCACCACCTAGAGGCCCCGGGCAGCCCGTTCCCGCCGCAGCACACGAGGGAGAGCGGGCGGCCCGTCCCCGCCGTGACCCGAGCCGCGCGCCCCGAGCCGAGTCGCGCGCCCCGAGCCGAGCCGCGCGCCCTGAACCGAGCCGCGCCACCCAGCCGAGCCGCGACCCGACCTGAACCGAGCCGCGCCGCCCTGCCCTACCTGGTTCGTCCTACCTGCTTCTCCTACTGCTACTACTGCTATTTCTACTATTCCTATGGCTAGCCCACAGGTTCTCGTGTTCGATGCTGAGGGCCGCCCTGTGAAGTTTGACACCTGGCTCGATGACCTGCACCTCTACCTACAGCTCACAGCCAAGGATGACATGTCACTGTACGATCACGCTCTAGGCCATGTCACTGCCCCTGCTGCTACTGCTGATAGCACTGCTTGCTCACAGTGGCAGACTCGTGATGCCCACGCTCGCTTCGCCATTCGCAACTCCCTGCCGATAGACGAACGCGAGCACTTTGGTCAGCACAAGACTGCACAGGCACTGTACACTGCTGTAGTTGCTCGCTACTCCTCACCTGCCTCTGCCGCACTAGGCCGTCTCTCCCTCCCCTACCTGTTTCCCGACCTGGCCTCCTTTCACACAGTCACTGACCTCATCACGCACCTCCGTACTAGTGAGGCCCGCTTCCGTGCCGCCATGCCTGCTGAATTCCTTGCCACCCACCCCCCTCCACTCTGGCTCACTCTCTACCACCTAGTCACCCGCCTCCCTGACACACTGCGTGCTGTCAGGGACCACTTCCTAGCTCGTTGCCCCACTGAGCTCACCATTGCCCTCCTCGAGAAGGAGCTACTTGCAGCTGAGACTAGCATAGTCGCTGTAGGTGCCTCTCGTGGCGACCCCCGTACCCCGTTCTTTGAGGGGTGTTCTCCTTCCCCCCTTCTTCCCTCGGTCGCCTCTGCTGCTGCTGTCGACCTTCTTG